TAAGCAGATTTGTTTCTGATAAAATACTAGGCAGATCAGGTTGAAAGGGCTTGGTGTACACTCAGCTATCCCTTTTAATAAACGGAGTGATTTCTTTGTCTAATATCTCTGCATTTTTGTCATAATTGTACCATGGATAGGTTTATTCCCTCTTACATTTTGTTAATTCTGAATATAATTGTGCCATGCTTGTTTCTGGAGTAGTTCAGGTGCTTTCCATTTGAATTTGGTAAACAAAAGATTTTTTAAAGTATGGTAATATCAGTCCTATTTTCTGGACTTTATTTTTGGAATTATGTAAATTTGGAGTTCAGTTACAAAATATATTATTTTCATTAATGTAAATTAATAGAATTATATTTCTTTTTCTAAATAAGCTGGAAAGCTGGAATTTCCATCAGATCCCGGGATCCTATTAAGCCATTTTGAGATGAATGTGACCAGGGAAGAAAAGCAGTACTTTAGATATGAATCTATTTTCATTTACTTTGGACTGAACAATTTAATCTACAAGATGCCTGGTGCCAGCTAGATGAGAATGATTCACATGTCACAGTCAGTGGCTGGACTCCATCTACCTGAAGATATTGCACAGTGTATTCACATTAAGTAGGTGTAATTTAATAAACAGCAGTGTCCTCACTGAAGGTGGCTTTGAGGAGGAGTGGCTGACCTTTAAGAGTAATGGGTGGAAAGCCAAGGTGCACATTGGCCATCTCTTGTCTGGGATGCCCAGGTCAGGTTTCCTGCATGTAACAAGCTACTGTGAGGTTTTCTAATTCCATTTTTGCAACTAAAACAAGGGTAAAGATTTAATATTGACCATTCAACCCTCAGTTCCAGCTGGTTTTAGTTCCATGCTTGCCTATACTTTTGGTCCTTATCAGGCTGTATACATTAGCTTCTCTCCAAAACCAAACGTTTTTGTGTACTTATGTTGTCTTAATAGTTTTTCCAGATACCTTCTGTATTAGCTGAACTTGATGGAAGATAAACATTTCTTCAAGTTCACATGATGCATTCTGACTTGCCTTTCTGTGATACTGATGGCTGCCATGCATCATGAAGCCAAGTGGCAGCAAATGCTGCTGGTGTCACTGACAGGAGATGTCCAGAAGAGGTGGCCTAACACTTCTGGTGGTAAGCAGGTTGCATCTCTAAGCCAGACCTGGAGAGGTGTCTGTGGGCTTCACTCTTGAACACTCAATGCTGCCTTGGTTGAGAGGAGAGTTTCTTATTCATGTCTTCAAGTTCAGAGACCCATCTAAAAAGACATAGTGGTAAGGCTGTCTCTCCATCCCTGTGGGTTGTCCATTTTGCACAGCAAGTCTCTTAATGACCTTCCTGTAATGTGGATAAATACGTTTATGCTATAATGTGGCTTGTTCACAAGTGGACTATATGGTTTTTAAAATATGTTTTTTGTACCTATGGAAATAATTGTTATTTCATGCTTCTTTTTGTCTCTGTGAGGACAACCAAGTATTAGGAACACTTTAAAACCACACTGGAAGCGGTCTAGGGGTTTTCTGAGGTTACTGTTTATGGTCTGCTTAAGGTTATCAATTATGTCTCAAATAAAAAGCTCTCTACAGATGGTCATTGTGCTGTACTTTGAACTCATTTAACTGGACATTATTTACAGAATATTTATCTTGGTTATGGCAGTTTTTGTCACACAGTGATATTACTTTTCCATTATATACTGCATGTGACCACCACATAAGTTTGATAATAAATGTTGGAAAATAAAAAACAGAGTAAGTGCCTCAGTATGATAGCAATTCCCATGTGATGGGAAATAATGTCATAAACTTCAAATTACCTTTTAAATAAATGTTTATGTCTTACCCATCCATCAGATCATAGCCTGAAGGGTCAGGAGGATCATTTCTTCGTATTTCACTGTATGCATTATGATTGCTTTTTTAGGTATAAATGATGCTTTTAAATGAAGAATGGCACTCGAAGTATACACAAACAACAGCCAGACATTACTGAGTCGCAGTATGGCAGAAATAGCCTCAGCCACTCAGCTAAATATAGAAGTGCAGCAGTAAATTGAATTCATTCTTAGAAAATATGTTTAATGGTGTACGTGCTGAGACACTGCAGAAATGCAGCTCGTGTCATTCTCGCAGTTTGTGGCTTTGACATTTCAGTCAGGTTTAAATTCTAGTTGTGTTTTGGTAGGTGGCTGATTTGCTGAATCCTTATGGGGGTTAAGATTCTGGAGAGCAGAGAAGAGCATACCTGAGCGTGCAGAGAAGTGTACAGGTGCTAGATACCATATGAGTGAGCATCTTTGCCATTTAGGGCCTGGTGTGCTTGTGAAGTGATGCCACTTCTGTCAGGGCCCAGGGATGGTGTTCTCCTGAGAGCACCTGGCATGGAACACCCCACATGTTGACACCCCACCATTCCCAGCACCTTTCACAGGAATGGGACAGAGCTGCCCACCTCAAGGATGAAACAAACCCATATCCCACATTAAGACATTTCCCTGCTCTGCTCCCTCTTTAGTCCATAAATCCCTGATAAACATGTTTGGCTCCCCAAAATATCCCATGCATCAAAGGATTTATAAGTGGTGGTGTTAACTGTGTTTACCCTGCAGCACTGTGCTAAAAACTCAAGTGGGAAATTAAATGTTTGAGCTGAGAGAGGCTGCATTGAACAGGCAGAATCTGTTGGTGTCCTGAGACTGGAGCTGAGTGTGTGGGGATGGGGCAGATTCCTTAGCCTGGCCTGCAATGGCTGGAAGTCAGGGAAGGAAGAGCTGTCAAGGGCTGTTAGGCCCATTTGGAAATACATTTTAAAAACCCTTTCTGTTTATAGGCAGGGGAAAACCCATTGTCTTGGAGATTTAAAACACCAATCAAAAAATTCAGTGATGTTTTTGCTGAAACTATGATTTGACCTTCCTGTTTACACTAAACATTTTTTATGGCCACGTACAGTGACGTGGTTGCTTTGTTTGAGGTATTTGACAGTTACAACAGTTCTGGGAATAATTGTTTTGATTCTATATATGTCACAAAATAAATATGTTAATTTTAGAAATCAGGTTGGGTTTTTTTTCCCAACTTATTTATGCTTTCTTCTTAACCTTCCTTGTGAGGACCATGAACACGTTAAACTTTAAAAGAACAGTAACCTTATGTCCAAAACATTTTTATTTTCATTTGGAGGTAAATCTACTCTAGAATCAGTTGGCTATAATATTGCTTCTTTTATCATTATAATTTTCATTAAAATGGTATATTATCTTCTTAAGATTTTACTTGGTCCTGATTCTCTTTTGTGAGCAGAGGTCCATAATCCTTTCCACAGCAACCACTTGTAAAAGCAGAGGATTATGACTTGAGACAGGACACAAGCAGCAGGAACAGATCAACTTAAAAACAAAGATCCTGTTTGAGTACAAATGCTATTGTTAGCACAGAGTTGGGGTGAGTCAAGTGACAGGATGTCTTTTAGAATATAATAAATTCGTATCTACACCACATGGTGTGCTAGCCAGAAGACACATCCTTTTAGCAGTTATAAGATAGGCTACATATTTTTATACCTTCACTTTTTATACTTTTACCTTGTCCAATAAACCATTCCCTCAGAGAACAGCTGATATCTAAACAGCTGAACAGCTTTTTTGTTTTCTGTAGATTTATTTTTCTGTCCAAAGAGTTTCTACACTGTTATACTTTTTCCAAAATCTGCTAAAAGTAGGGATTTTAAATTATACTACTGCAAGGTCATTTCAAGGTCAGTAATAGCCAATTTGGTCTAGTGCTATCATTTCTTATGATGTATCTTATCCTTCAGAGAAAAGGAGGGAGGTATTTTTGTCTCTATACTAAAAAAAAAAAAAAAAAAAAAGCAATAACATGTTTTCCTATATTAAAAAGTCTTGGATTTAATACTGGTAGTTTAACTGATCTATCACTCAGAAATATATGCGACTCAATTTCGAAGTATTTTTGAAGTTTTTTTCCCTAATATTTTTCCTGTTAAGGTCAGTAGGAAGTAACAAAAATACCAAGTGACTTAAAACATTTTAATCAATTGTGGAAAACTCCTCCTTTAAAAAAAAAAATAAATTAAAATACTTATATGGTATGGACAATATTAATAAAGATACAAAATGCAGTGATGGAGTCAAGTACCAGTTTCACTTGAATGGTCTGCATAGTTATTCCATAATTGAGAGCACATACATAACCTGTGCTTCCCAAACTTCTGGTGACTGTTTTTGTAATAGACAACAAAGTATATCCTGTTTATATATGATACAAGGTTTGTCTCAAGGTGTCTTCATTTGTACATAGTTTGTTTTCTGGCTGTTCATGGGTTTTCTTATTCCACACCATAAAACAGTACAATGTCACATAAGCATCTCTAATGATGAGTCAATCAAAAGCCTTAATAGAAGAAAATGTTTAGTTGGGTCTGTAATCATTGCTATGTGGAGGCAAGAGGAGCCTCAATGTAGTGGTTTCAGGGGGTTTGAATGGTTGCTACTGCATGGCTGAGGATCCCTCTTCAGTGTCCTAAAGTCTGCAAGGTTAAAAAAACCCAACATAGTCTTGAAGTCGTAATTTTTGAACTCCTGTTTGAAAATAAGATTTTATTGCAGATGATGTATGGAGGCTTTCAGATCATCCTACTGATGGCACTTGGGTGGCAACTATATTATCAATGAATAAGAAAACAGGAGCCATGGCATTTCAACAGTATGAATTCTCCAGACTGTATTATTTGGTTAGCCTAAGGCAAGAGACTGTGCTCTTAGTACTCTGTGCAGAATGAGTAATCTGAGACAAATGTGTAACCACACCGTGTGTGCAATATGTCCACATACTATGGACTAGTCGGTCTCGCTGTGCGCCGCAGGCAGCCAAGTACCTCTCGTGGACAGTGGACGTATGCTAAAAAATGGTAATTTTATTATGCTGTCTGGGATTTCACCACACATAACTGATTATAAAAGCATTATAACAATGACGGTGTTAACTGTGTGTTTGTTTATCCCACTAGAGTGAGAATTTTATACTGCAAGAAGTTAGCAAGATTTTCTGTTGCCTAACCAGAATTCTGTATTTCTGCATGCAAGCAACTGAAAATGCATATTCCCAGTGCAAACTATTCCAGTGCTTTAACATGGCTTGTATTAGTGTGTGTGATAGCTTGAATTTTCTTTCTTTGCCAAAGCTGCTGAAACAATACAATGATAGATTTCTGCTTTTATTCTTCATTAATGTCATTCTTCATCCTCTCTGCCCCACATCACCGAGGAAGTGTTATGAGTTTGCTGTTTTAATGAAGAGAAATGAGGCATCTATCACCTAGGATTTCTGCTGGAGAGCACATCAATTCAGTTGCCTTGAGCTTGCTGAGTTTGCATATCCAGGGCCAAGTAGTGCTTTCAATTATTCCCGTGCAACCCCATTAACTTCAGGAGGCTGTGCAGTTCAAAAGTGACTTCGCAGAACGCAAGGTGGTGTTAGGAGGCAAGAAGGATATCTGATAGTGGAGTCAAGCTTCCAAATATTATTTTTGGTTATCTAAAAAGGAGATGAGCATACAGTCATAATTATACTTTTGAAAGGGTAGTGTAGTCATCATATAGTAATTGCATTGAGTATCTCTTTGTAGCTGTGCCTAACAGAACAGACAGCCTCCCAAAAATCACTGCAGTGAGGGGGAAAACACTTCCAGCTGGGAAACATATTGTAAATCATATGTCTTTAGTAGACTGTATCCTGTAATTACTCTTAACTGTAGGTTGTTTCTTCCTCTTTCTCTCTCTAGGAGCTATGCCGTCAGCGCATGGCAGTGAAAACGTCTGATCGCCCAGAGCCCCTGCACGCATCTCGAATAAATAGTGTTTCTTCACAATTTAGTGATGGGCCCGTTCCCAGCCCCTCAGCCCGGAGCAGCACGTCGTCCTGGTGTGAGGAGCCAGTCCAGTCCAACATGGACATCTCCACCGGTCACATGATCTTGGTAAGGTAGTTTTGTCTTCACGGCACGAGAAATGTCAGGATTTAAAGTACCTGCTCAGCATTTGGAAAGAGAGAACTTTTAAAGAAAGGAAAGCTTTTGCTTTTGCAGGTTAAAAATATTCCTGAGCTTTGTTGGTAATCTTGGCTTTGTATAATTAAAACTAAAGGGATTTTAATTTCCATTTCTTCTTCATTATATTGTGGCTTTTTTTCCTCTCTGGTGAACATTGTTTTATCTTGGATATAGGAGTTGTTTTTGTGCTTGCCTTAAAAAAGATAAGCCTTCTGTTATCTTTTTTTCCTGTTTATTTTATATTTACCTCAGCTGGGACAACGGAATAAAACTGCTGAATTTCTCATTAGCTTGCTGCTTTTCCTCATGTACCTTTAGCGAGCCGAGGTATGTGAGCTGGGAAAGCAGCAGACTATTAGTGATATGGAGCAATTTATTTTTCATTACCCTTAGAAAAGAAAAGGGATTTGAATTTTGAGGCTAGCCTGATTTTTTTTGTCCTTGGCTGGATTTCACTTCAAGCTGGATCATTTCTATGTTTGAAATTACTCAAATATGTTCTGTTAATGGAGTCTGCATTGGAAAACTTGGGTTACTTCCAAATATGACTTGTGACTAATATCAGTGTGGAAGACGGATACGTGAAGCAGCCCAAGACCAACAGAGTCCAGTTGTGACAGGTTGCAGCTTGTTTCTGTCTTTCGCTCTGTTAGTGTCCTGCTGAGAGAGTTGTAGAGTAATACCCCTTTCTTTGTGCTTTGTTTTCTTCCTCCTTTAAATATTTACTGTCTTGGTAGAGTGCATTGAAATTAGCTAAGAAGTTAGGTGATGGTGAAGATGATGAGCCAGGCTTTATTTTGCTTTCTGTATTTGATTTCTGCTATTTTTTAGTATGGTTGATCTAAAGTAAACACCTTTTCCAGTTGGTAGCATTACCATGCTTTGGGAAACTTCCCTGTTGATTTATTTATGCCCTGCTGAGATGACTCACCAGTGGGGTCTCTCAGAAGAAAAACTTCTCTTCACCATGCTATACTTTAGGGACATAATTTTTCAATTTCTCTCTTTTTCTGGACTTAAATTGGAAAGTAGTATCTTCTCAGGTATTTTTCAAGTTCTTACAAGACACCTCACCTGACAGAAAATGCTATCAAGTTGGGCAAAACCCAAAGAGCTAATTTGACCTCAGCCAAGTTACTGCCTTGGGCGAAAGCAGGGCACTTTTGTAAACCAAATGCTGCATCAGAGTATGTCATCCTGAGTAAATATTTCTTCTCCTGACCCTGCCTATTCTCACCCTCCCCCCTGAAAAGGAGTTACTTAAGTATTATGTTAAAGTCTGGTGTACAAGTGCAATTTGGAAGGATTGCTCCCATGACAGAAAATGATGTACTATATTTTTTACTGTCCCACTTTTGCCTAACCAGAATTAAAATTCACTTTATTTCCTTTCATAGTTAACAGAAATGCTTGGGTAAAAAAGAATAACCTCAATTGCCCAGCCTCAAAATTACTACAAACTCCTGTGGTAAAGTATTAGGCAACGTATTTTTATGGAGACAAGAGCAAAATTTCCAATGTAGTTGGAAATTTACATTTATTATTTGCAAGCAGTTTCAACTACTTTAAACTCAACAAATTTTTTTTCAAATATATGATTGGGAAAAGCAAATAATCACAAAGTCAATACTAAAGGAGAGAAATTTTCATATGGGAACCACTTGTTTTGGCTCTGGGAGTCTCTGCAAAATTGCAAGAAAGAATTGTCTTGATAGGGTAATAAACTTTTTAAATGGTCTGATTTTCAAGATCACTGGTGTTCAGTGCCTTTAATTCAGTCAATCCTGTTTAACTCTGAATAAATTCATGCATATGTTAGCCATCTAACAGCATGTGTTACATCTTAGGTTGTGAGTGTTCAAAGAAGGGTAAAAGAAATGCTGTAGTGTTGTGAGAGTACGAACCACACAGAGAGAGAAAAAATAGTTAATTTATTTAGTCTAAACTGAACAAACAAAGATCAGTGATTCAGGGGAGTGTGTGTATGTTCTTTGAAATACAGGATGGGGAAGAATTGTCCTTAACAGACACAGATGCTACAATTAGGAAGAAAATACAAGTTAGAATCAAAAGGATACATTTAGCCTGGATATCAGGGCAAGCCTAATAGGAGGGTCAGGCAGGCAGCAGGGATGTTTACTTAAGGGAAGTAGTTAAACCGTAACTTCACAATGTGCTAAAGGGGAAGCTGGGTTTGGTTTACATGGGAGGATCAGCATTGCTCAGCTACAGCACTGAAGCAGATGATTGGACTTGATCAGAAATGCTCATGTTCTCTTTCACTGTGGGTCACACTGAGCCCAGAGAGCTGACCTGATTTATGTTTTGCTAAAACATAAATGCACTATCTGTAATACTTTATTTGCCTGAATGTCTGTGGTGGCTTGTTGGATTTCAGCAGTAGAAGAGGCTCACCAGCAGTGAGCTTTTCTGCCCCTTGCCCTGCAGCTACAAGTCGAGGAGAGCAAGGGGCCACTTTGCAACTTTTATACCATTCAGCACCAGAAGTTTTCCAGTTCTTCCCATTCCCTGATGCCAAGATCGTCTTTTCTTTTAAATTTTGTAGATATTTTTCATGAAAAATATCTCAGTGCCTAAAAACGCAACAAGACATATTAGCAAGGGGACTAGTAAGAATGGCAAATACCATCTGCTTTGCAGGGTAAATGCACTTAAAGCTTTGTAAATATGTTTTTCAGCTCCGTAGTGTGCAGTGAAGTAGCAGTTAGCTGAGCTTGGGCTCCTCAGCTGTTATTGTTCATAGGTGCCAGCACCTCCCCAGAGAAAATAAAACCATGACTTACTATATAAAATGGCAGCAAGAAATATTTTACTGTGATTTATAAACAGAATCAATCTTTAATGAAAGTAGCATAGAAGAAATGTGTCTGTGACTGCTGGATGACTCCATGTAATCTTACTCAAAGGTAACGTTGGTCAGAAACGTTTCTGTAAAGCTGTTTAATTGGCTGGAAAATGCTAGCAGGTCATACCTGAAGTGATGTCCAAGCCTCTGCAGCTTTGGGTTTATTGGAGCCTGTCATTGGCCATAGGTACTGTTTTCTTGGAGAATGTACTGCCTGTAGTTAGTCCATCATTTATAGGACTTGAGGTTTGGAGAAACCAGGAATCTTCCAAACCCACGTGGCTGTGGGGCAGTCTCCTCACTTAGTCTGAAATTGTTCTTTCAAAGAGAAAAATCCTGCATTTCTGCCACATTCCTGAAGAGCAATGACAATGTCTCTGCACCTCTGACAGTGACGTGAGGTAGTTTGTGCTGTTGGTGGGAGAAAGCAGGGAGGACTCAGGAGGCCCAGGAGGACAGAGATAACAGCATTCAGAGGTTTTTTTCCTTTTTCACGTTCTTTTTCCTCACATTTGTAGCAGGAGAATGGCCCATCTGGCACTTTTTGATTCTGTCTTTCTAAAAGATCCAAGCAGTCTGGAAATTGTAATTAGAGGAGTGTGTTTTATGCAGTGGTGTTTGTGGCACTGACTGGCTGGTTTCAGCACAAGCAACAACAACCAAGTGCCCTCATTTCAGTCACCACTGGTTTTGCAAGAAAACAGTTGTTTTTTCAAAGGGCATAGCAAGGGAGAGAGTAGGAACTCAGAAGCAGATTTCCATCCACTTCATTTACATATGTACACCTATATTTTAAGTGCCAAGAGAAGTCCTAATAAAGTGCAACACTTCCTTTTGCAGTCAAGCAAGAGAGCCAGGAAGGTGTTGAAGGTGTACATAAGAGGTTTATTCTCCCTGACTTGGGCTCCTAACTTGTACCTACATTTTAGGCACTTAATGAGGTAGTGTTCTCAACTTGAGTCCACAAATTCCCCTTTTGTTGAAGTGAGTGGGTGGCTATGAGGGTCTCCAGAGAATCAGGCCTCTTGGGAGATATTCTGTTGTGCCTGCACCATCACATTGACATCTGCAGCTTAGATGAAGGTGTCTCTTTGGTTTCTGCTGAAGCACAGGTTTGGCATGTAGGTTAGGTAGATTGGATCCCACATCTGCTTCGTATATTGCCACGCTTGTTTGGCTAAAATAGTTACAATCTTTTATGAGTTTTTAAATGAAGAGCAGTACTGCAAGAAGGGAGCATATGCTTTTGCTGATAACATTTTGAGGTTGTTGTCTGAATACCATAGATGAGAGGGAATTTGCAGAAGCAGAAGTGATTTTCTGTGGTTTGGGGTGGGTTGTTTTTTTTCTTTGTAAAGACAGAAGTGCAAAATTTGGAACAGTGTATATAAATTAGAATTTCAGAAAGTGAATTTCTGAAAGATCCTCTTTGGTACTTGTTTAAGCTAGAAGTCTTAGGAGTCTTCTCGCTGAAGGTGTGAAACTGCTGTATGTATTGGAAATAATAATAGTCTGTGGCAGTTTGTGCATACTATACTTGGAAGTTTTGTAACTGGCCTGGATTAGACAGTGGGAGAAAATAAACTACAGGCCAAAATCTAGGGCCTTCTATGTAAAAGTCGGAAGTCCACTTAATACCCTTGTTCCACTTGATCCCCTTGTCTTTGGCAATGCCTCCAAAACCAGAAGCAATTTCCCCAAAGAGAAGTGAAGGGTGGCTTCATGAGAGAACTTCGTGTCAAAAGGTTCTGGGACAGGCTGTGTCTCAGAAGGTGAGCACCTGAGACCACTTTCTGAGATGTAACCTGAACTAGAGGCACATAGGATGGAGACCTGCTGCTGCTGGGAAGCCAGTCAATCCCAAGATGTTGAATTTTGCATCTAATTCAGTTTTGATGCTGAATCCATGGCAGGATTGCTGTGGGTCTGAGACAGGCAGCAAGGAAGGAATAGTTTCCAAAGTTGAACTTCAGGGTTTTGGATACCATTGGTGTCCTTTAAGCTCTGCATAATAACTTCTTGGTGGTTTCTAAGCAGTTTTCTCTCACTTTATTTTGTAAAA